CACGCTTTACCGTGTTGCTGTTCAAAGGCTCTGCCTGTTTGCTGCATCTCCCGCTCTGCTCATACTAGCTAGTGTGGGGACGATCTACTGCACTTTCCTGCCTTCGCACTTTAGGGGTGGCGAGTTCAACTGCTGCCCCTCTCCTTTATGGCTCTGTGGACAGCGGGACTGAATTAGGCATGGTTGGGGTACAGAGGGGCTTCTGGTACTCGGAATAAAATAAATGAATAGAAAGCACACAACAAGCATCAGGCTGAGTAAGGATAGAAAGACACCATGTAAAAATGCAGTCCTCTAAACCCTAATTCACTTATCCTAAACAGTGTTGAGGAGGGGCTGTGGCTCAGTGATGGAGCATCTGCTTAGCATACAGAAGGTCCCAGGTTCAGTCCCTGGCATCTCCAGTGGGAAGAATCAGGTCGTAGGTGATGTGAAAGATCTCCACCTGTGACCCTGGAGAGCCGCTGCCAGTCTGAGCAGACAGTACTGACTTTGATGGACCAAGGGTCTGATTCAGTATACAGCAGCTTCATGTGTTCATGAGTTCATGTGAACTGGGGTAAGCTAGGAACACTTAAGGGTGCAGCATTTAAAAGTCCTCCATTGTCTAAGCTCTCAGCGTTTATAGGACTTCTCCCAATTGTCCCTCAACACATGGTCAAGATGGAGTCTCGCAGTAAAGGCTTAGGACTTCATGGCTTGAGCACAAAAGAACAAAAGGCCAAAAGCCAAGAGATAAGAGACAAAGAGAGAACTCCCTCATGTCCAGAGAATGTTTAATCTCCCCTTTAGGAGTCCCTCCCCCTTCTGGGAGTCATTCACAGTCTTCCTGACCCAAGAAAGAAATGCGATCAAGCCTCCTGGCTTCCCCAGGCTCTGTCCCTTAGCTGAAGTGTTAGCTGGTAAACCTTTTCTCTAACTCTGGCCAGAGCCATTTGAAGTGCTTTGTGCTTGGGGAATTGATGACTCATCCCTGGTACTTTTCCGCTTGTCAGCTGCTCACTTGCAGCCAAACTCCTGGGGCATGGATAGAGTACGGGCCCAATTACTGTAATATAGATGTGAGCTCTAGAGCGGAAGGTATTTCTCACCTGATTTCTGCCTGGAATTGACCACAGTGAGCATCTCTACATCTCCTTTCTCGCACTGTTTTCCTTGTTAGAAAAAGCAATATCCCTCTCAGACTGTGGCTTGGGGGGGGGATGTTTTGGGATTGGAATCTAGGCTTCCAGCTTTTGAAGAGACGCCGTTGATAACAGGCGCTGTCCGTCAAAAGTTTGGGTGTGATTTTGGAGGCCTCCTTAATTAGGGAGGCCCCGGTTATGCACATTGCCAGGCTGGCATTTTCCCATCTTCGCCAAGCTCGGCAACTGGTTCCTTTCCTGTCATACCCTGACTGAGCCACGGTAATCCATGCAACGGTCACTTCCAGGCTTGACTGCTGCAACTTGCTGTACACTGGCCTACCCTTGAGACTGACCTGGAAACTCCAGCTGATCCAGAATGCAGTGGCGTGAGTCCTGATGGGAATGTCATGGATGGCACATATTCAACCTGTGCTGCACCACTGTTGCTACACTGGCTCCCAGTGGAACACCAAGTCAGGTTCAAGGTTTTGGTATTGACCTTCAAGGTCTTGAGCGGTCTGGGACCAACGCATCTGCGGGACTGTCTCTTCTGGTATGTCCGCAGGAGAGCTTTAAGCTCTGCAGATAACAACCTGCTAGTGATCCATGGCCCCAAAGATATCAGGCTGTCCTCAACCAGGGCCAGGGCCTTTTCGGTCCTGGCCCCGACCTGGTAGAACTCTCTGCCTGATACCACCCAGGCTCTGCGGGATCTTATGCAATTCCGCAGGGCCTGCAAGGCAGAGATGTTCTGCCAGGCTTTTGGTTGAGGGCAGCAACGGTGTTCTGTCGTGGCTGGCACCCTCTTCCTTTCCCCCCCTCCCCTCAATTCTGATCTTGTGTTCCCTCGCCCCCTGCCCAGAAAGTGGCCAGGCAGTCCAGAACTGGGATAAAAATTTTAAGGTCACCATCTGGGGCTTTTTAACTTGGTTTTTTAAAAAAATCTGTTATTCTACCTTTGTTATTCTGAATTGTTGATGTCCTGTGTATTCATTTTATGGCTTTGTGCCTCTGTTGTACATCGCCCAGAGCCTGGCACAAACTGGGATGGGGCGATTAATGAATCAAATTAAATAAATAAATAATGATAATGATACCATACTATCTGCCCTCTCCCCCATCTGCAGTACGAGCAAGAGATAGCCAATCTGAAGAACCGGCTAACAGTGTCCAGTCGCCGGCTGGAAGAATACGAACAGCGTCTCCTCGCTCAGGAGGAGCAAATGAAACAGCTGCTGACAGCATACAAAGCAAGGCTCGAAGACAGCGAGGAGCGGCTCCGAAGGCAGCAGGAGGAGAAGGATGCTCAAATGAAGAGCATCATCAGCAGGTAAGGAGAGGGGAGAATACTGGCCTGTGTGGGAGGAACTGGCAAGCTTGCAGGTGCCAAGAGTCGTCTTTACTTTGCAGCCTGAGCGTTTCAGATATGGGCAGCTCCTCTGTGACATCTGACAATCAATAGGTTGTGAGTGGGATGTTGTCTTTATCACACACACGGAGAGACTGGCTGGAAGGTACTGAGATCACTTGCCAAAAGGTTATGGCAGAATCAATAGCAGGTCCAGAGGAAGTGCTTGGAAACCAGTCTTTGGGAGGGACCATCTGAGCATCTGCTTGGCATTACAAATAGTCCCAGGTCCCATCCTTGGAACCTCCAGTTCAGGGTCATGTAGTAGGACAGATGTTTCTGCTTGAGTCCCTGAAAAATTGCTGTCAGTCTGAGTCGTCAATACTGAACATGATGGACCAGTGGTTTGATTCAGTATTAAGGTAGCTTCATGGGTTCTTCATGTGCTGTTTAAGTAGATGAGCCTGCCTGAAGGAGACAGATGCTTCAGTGATGGTGGATTTACCAGTAGAAAATGTAATGGAGGAGCAGAATGGAATAGTTTTGCTCTTGAGCCAGTTACTGGGCCAATGTTTGCTTTTCCTTTCTCCCCACCCCCAAAGCCACAGTCAGATTTTTCTCCCCTTTGATTCTTGCTCTCCATTGCAGGCTAATGGCTGTTGAAGCAGAGCTAAAGAAAGATCACGAGAAGATGCAAGACGTGATAGAGACTAAACAGAAAATAATTGATGCACAAGTAAGGAGCAGATATTTTTCCTTTTTCCTTTTCCTTTTTGGCTTGCGGACTCTGCCACCCCCCCATTCCCCCTCCTTAGTCTGCCCTGCAACTGCAAATCATGTGAAGTAGCGCCTGGGAAAAGCCCAACTCAGGAACTATCTCACTGGGACAAGCCCTGGTCAGTGTGGCTCTCCGGGACAGGGTAGCTCTTGCCTCAGGCAGCCTGAAGCATGAATTGTCAACATGTGTACATCATGGGATCTGAGCGAAGGGCTCAGAGCTGCTTCTGCAGAAAGACACATGATGTGAAAACAGAGAGCGCTTTAGCTTGTGACTTCAGCTGGCCATGGCTTGGCATGATGCCTGTTGGGGTGGCGGTGCTCCTTTGGCATTGGGCTTTGCTGGCATGGGAGAAAGAGAGGTGCTTAAATGCATGTCCTCCTACTTGCCTTTCTGGAGTTGGTCCTAAAGGCTTTGCTCCAGTCCCCTTTGCTCCTCACGCCCCTGGGATGCTTCCGTTTGTTCAGCCAGGGAAAAAAAGAGGCTTTAAAGCCACACATGAAACAGTCACTTTGCTCGCTTCCTATATGCTGGGCTTGTGCGGTTCTATCAGTGGGGGGGGGGGAGAGACTGTGGCCCTCCAAGCTTATAAACTGCTTTAGCATTTATCATGATGGGGGTAATCTTTTTCTTAAGTGTCTTTGGCATTAGCCACGTTTCCCCTGCATTCACCCATAGTTTAAAAAGCAAGAAGCCAGAGCTTGTCCATTGGCTGCCTATTCATACATGCTCCATGGCGCTTTAAATCAAACTAGATTTCACTTAGCCCCAGACCGAGGTGTGGGGACCGCCCTAAAGCTGCCCGGGCTCTCTGCCAGCTACCGAGAGCCTGGTGGTGCTGAAAGCGGGGCAGGCCCTTGCAAGAGAGATGGGGGAAATGAAGGCCCTGCTGGGTTCACTAGGAAGCACGTGGCCAGTACTTTGGGTCCTGCCCACCTGCTCTGTAGCAGAGAGCCCTGGCATTTACAAAACGTGAAGGAGGCAGTGGTGCAGCTTTTGCTTTCTTGTCCTGTGCTGAGGGCACCCAGCACTTTCCCCTCTCAGTGTAGTCACTGGTCTTCCCCCCCCCCCACTTATCGACCTTCTGTTGGGTGAGGGAGGAGGTGGGGGTGGGAGAGCCTGGATGTCCCCGCTCTCCCTCCCGAGAACGTCAGTGTGCCCTAAGCTCCGGGTTTTGTGGTTGCAAGTGACATCTCCACTGTGTTAAATTACAGGTCTTAATTGGGGATGAGATAATGCAAGCAGGCAAGTAATACCTGATCAGTTCTCTAGCTGAGCATCTCCCTGCCCCAGCCTGGCGCTCTTGCCCCCCCTACACATTCCAGCTCCTGCCACTCCCTGCACCTCGTCCAGATGCATTATGGGACCCTCCTTGGGGAACCAATGCCCTTGCTTTCCGAGCGAGGCGCTGACATCAAGGCCTCCTTCCCCTTGAAGTCCAAAAAAACAATGTCAACTGCTTGAAGACCGTGTGTGTGTTTCTTTGTTTTTTGTTTTAATTTGGATTGTCATACATACAGCTACAAAGCAGCAGCTAAAGGGGCAAACTAATCCCCATTTCTTATTACAAAAGCCATGTTAAGATTACAATGAGCATCTAGCACACTGATCTCAACAACATCTTTTCAGCTGGAGTTTCACAGTCATTCCCTCTAGATTTGAGGGTGGGGAATATCGTGAATTTCCTCAGTCTGATCTGAAACTGATGTAGGAAAACAGAAAATAGACTAATCTAGGAGGATGGCCTACAGACATAAAAAAGACACCAGTTTTCCATGGATTGATTCCACTGCAGGCTAGATAACTGGGGCCCCTTCGTAAATCCAGGAGCATCTGTGAGCGGCTCTGAAGGACACTGAAGTGACTCTCAGTATAATCAAAACCATAACCTCTCAGTCAAGTTTCTAGGTTCCAGTGGGACCTTCAGTGTGGGGCATTTTCAGAAACTTTAGTTTAGTGTACCTTTATGAATTTGTTCAGATAAATATATCAGGAAGATTTTTCTTCTTAAGGGGGAAAAAATGATATGTTTTGGCAGAAAGAACAAGGAAGCAGGAAAAAACCTCCAGTGAGATCGAGAATTCCTCTTAGGGTTGGCCTTAGGTAGGCTTCTTTTATGTATGGTCTGTAGGTAGGTAGACAGATCACACCCTAAATAACTATTGCCCTTCTTATCTCTGCCCAGCTGAGCGAAGCCATGAGATGGAAATATGCCGAAATACGTTCCACTTATGCCCTGTCCATACTCCTTATTGACTTTGCATATCTCTTAATGATCGGATAAGCCCCTTTCCCAGGGATATCAGAGCCAAGACTGTCTTTGGCTTTTCCGAGGGAGTGGCAAGAAAGAAAGAGTTAAGTGCTGTGTTCCCCCTCTACATGGTTCCAGGCTTTGTCCAAACCTGGGGGAAGTGGAACAGACACCTCAGTGCATCAGACAAGAACATGGCTTATACACAGTCACTGTGTAAGGAACCCTATCCCATTGGCGAACACTCGGCTTTGGGAAATGGTCCCTGCTGCTCTGCAGCTCCCCTTTGTTTCCAGAGGGCTTGTGCGGGACCCCGTGAGCCAAGACCATGCAGCACCAGCAGCACATGGGTGCATCAGTGCTTTCCTTTCCTAAGAAGAGCAACTTATTCATTCCTTTATGTTTTATGCCCTCCATGCTTTGTTTCTCCTCCCCGTCTTTTGCATCGTGCCCTGTGGGTCCATCGCATGAAGCGCCAGGTTTGCTGTCAGGGCAGAAATGCTGAACACACAGATCTTCTTCGTGGTCTCTGTGCTTCACACCAATGGGATCTAGTGCGCCTGCGCTGGATCGTCCAGTGCTGTAGCAAGCTCTATACTAACTGATTTCCGCGCCCATTCCCTCAGGCAAGCGCAGGA